CTCGATTTTGCCAAGGCATTTGATGGTGTTCCGCACGAGCGACTGTTACGTAAAGTGAATTCTTTGGGAATAGAGGGAAATGTACTCCAATGGATCAGGGATTTGGGCCTGTTTTGTTTGTCTCTTTCATAAACGATCTACCATAAGTAGTGCCAAGCGTGTGCTCCATGTATGCCGATGACACAAAAGTTTATAATACAGTTAAGGGTGATAATATAAAGTTAAGGGTAAAATGTCTGGGGTAAAATTTATCTCGGTTATTTACATACGGATCACTCTGAAACTTGGTACACATATGTAAAACAGAAATTTAAGACTTTTTTGTTCATGTGTATTTTTCGAAAAAAATGAAAGAAAACGTGAAATTATTAGAAAACGGCCGAAAAAAGGGGGTACCGTAGAAATCTATCTCCTCCTAGGATTTTCACGGTACAACATCGAGACACATATCATTCGATGCGTAAAAACCATATCTAAAAACGTCACGTGGCGGTTTTTTGAATTTCTCATTTTTGTGGGTGTGGGAGCATTTTTCCAATATTTTTCGAAATTTTTCGATTTTACCCCCGCCCTCCCCCACTTCCTGCAAAATAAAATCCGAACTATAACGAAATTGGAAAAACGACCAAGTGACGTTAGTAGATCTTTCCTTTCCAAATCGAATGATTTATGTCTCATTGCTGTAGCTTCAAAACTGTAGGAGATTGGATTGCCGTGAGAGAGGTTTTAAGCTTTGGCAACTTTTCAGTAGAGGCAAAAAACCGCCGCGCGGCATGTGACGTAGCCTAGATACCGAAAGTAAGCGTCAAATCACTTCAAAGTCAGTCATCGGTGCACAGAGCCACTAAACGAACACCATCCCCGTGCTGTCTGTGAGGTTACTGAGCTCTAGCCGAGTGGAGAGAACATTTTATAGTTAATTTCCCCCTTTGGAATTACTGAAGGCCCCCCACCCCCTTGCCCCTTAAGGGGTCTGTCGTGAATGCAAAAATCAACGTACAGAGGTGATTCTAGTACCGTTCGATGTGGCAGAAAGTAAGCTTTAAGATGAGTAACCGGAGAATGTCATAATTGGCCGCTTTATGGTGCCCGGCCGGGTAATTTCCGCCTTAACTTTAGTGAAGGGGCCTGGTCCCCTGCTCCCCTTAAGGGAACTGTCGCGTCCGCATAAATCAACGTACAGAGATGGTTCTAATACCACGAGAAGACGATGCGTCAGAAAGTAAGCTTTAAGATGAGCCTAAAAACCGGAAAAGCCGAAATTTCGACCTTTGGACCCAGACGCTCTCCTTAAGGATGCGTCAAATAAAATGCAACTACAAAATGACCTCAATAGTTTAGTTGACTGGGCTGATGCGTGGTAGCTGCATTTCAATGCTGACAAGTGTAAAGTACTTCACCTCGGGAAGAACAATGAACAGCAAGCTTACAGCATGAGAAGACATGGTTGCAACGAAAGGGTTATGATTGAGCAGTCTTGCGTGGAAAAAGATCTTGGAGTTTATGTCGACAAAGAGCTAAAATTGTCTAGGCATATTGAAAAACAAGTTAATAAATCCAATAAACTGCTTAGGCTGATCACACGCTCCTACGAGTACCTAGATGTAGTAATGATGAAGCTGTTGTGTTGTTCTCTATCGTGCTCCCGAACCTAGAGTTTGAAAACTTTGTGTGGTCACCAAGACTTGAAAAGGACAAAAATTTAGTAGAGAGTGTTCCAGGATGTGCAACAAGGATAATTCCAGGCTTAAAGGGCAAGTCTTTTGAAGCAAGATTGTTGCGGACTATTTATTGCTTTTCAGCGCAACTGTTGTCTAAGGCAGGATTAATTGAATACGCGTGCATCAGGTTTCATTTTTTTGCTTTATAATCCCAGACGACACGGTTTCTGGAAAGAAACCTGTACAAATACAAAATTTTATACAAAAAACAAAAGGTTATTGAATTTATAAACAATATTCGCAAATAATAAAGTAATTACAATGACTTTCTAAACAACAAAGAAATATTCAACCAAGAGCTCACCATTAAGCTCACCAAAATTCGTTCCTGATTTAAGTTCGGTCTGTACTCTGCAGCCGACAGATGACGAATGAACGAAAAGGTTACGCAAGACCACAGAATTCAGCAAGTATTCTAAGGCAATGTTGCGTTCACAACAAAGATTGAAGATTATGAAGCTTCCCAGTCTCTGTTATCGTCGCCTGCGTTGTGACCTCATTGAAGTTTACAAGTATACTCATGGTTTGTACGATGTTCCAGAAGGATTACTAGAATTTGAAACAAGAACCAACACCAAGGGCCACGGATATAAAGCAAAAAAAACTGTGGTGCAACTCATCCATGCGACAACATTTTCTCGCTTCGAGTCACCGACATGTGGAACTTCCTCCCTGAAGATACTGTTGACGCTCAGAGTATGAACGCCTCAACGCGTTCAAGAACAGGATAGACAAGGCCATGCAGGAGCATATGCTTTGCCTTGAAATGCCTCGTATCCTACGGAACAAATGAAAGTCTAGAAACGATTTTAAACCTACCGTTCGTTTAAAAGGTTTGATGAAAAGGCCTGTCTTTTATATCTGTGAACTAGTCAAGAAAAGTACAAGAATCGGCGACAGGCCTATCCAGGCTTATTCATCAATGCCGAAGATACTATACTAAATCTTCATTATACTTCGAAATGTAGATGAGCCAAATTTGTTGAATGTTTATACTCCCATTATATTGAAATTGCGTTATAGGATCATAAAGAAAATTTAAGGGAAAGGTTTTTTCTGGCAAGAAACCTTTCATGGTTTTTAACCTTAGAAACCTAAACCTATTTTCATTAAGCCTACTTTAAATCAGGGCAATGATTGCCGAAGAAATTATGGAAAAATAATAAATTGAAAATGCAGGTCAATCTTAAAAATTTTGTTAACGAATAATGTGAGAAGGCTTGTAAAGTTACCTGAAATCCTAAAATCCCCAGAAATCATGGACGGAACACGAGTAGTAGGCATGGTTATCAGGAATATGAAAACATTGACCCACTCATGGAAACAGTGACCCACTTCATGGATGCACTGACTCACTTCATGGATACACTGACCCACTTCGTAGAAACACTACCCACCTCAGAGACACACTGACCCAATTCATAGAAACACTCACCAACTGTCTGGATACACTGAACCACCTCATAGAAACACTGACCCATTTCATGGAAATACTGAGCCACTGCATAAAAACACTCGCAAAACAGCCTGCTATAGTGAACCTGTCTGGGAAAGTGATGCGGCACAAATGTGACATAATTTAACTTGCTATCACTTGCGTCAGTATTAAAAAAATTGGGGGATAACAAATTTCAAAACTTTAATTTTAGCCTTTAACACTTTCGTCAGTAACGAAATACAATAATTATTGGCTGCATGAACTGACATTATCGTATCTAATTCAGATAGCGACGTTATCTTATCCATGCATGTTATAGAACATGTTTCAATTATTGCCAAAAAGATCTGACTTGCCTGACAGAGCCGCTGCAGTCTTCTCTGAGTTGTGTCAAGGTAAACAGAATCGAAATCATGGAATTCTAAGTCATCAAAGGGATTTAGTCTTTAGAATATAAAAAAATTCTTTAAATCAGAGTTACATTTATTTACAAACATTTCATATGCTGTTAATATTACTTTATAAATGACGCTAACTGGATTTCGTTACTACTCGTGATTTCTTGTTTCCTAACCAAACTAACTTCCAACTTTTCGACAAATTTTAGTGCGTGAAACGAGGGCAAGTTTTTGAAAACCCTCGGCGACTGCCGGTAACCCGAGAACAATCGCTGCCTTGACTGCGCTCAGGCCTCGCCTTCCTATACCCTCCCCACCCTCTTGGCCCCTACACCTCCCCCTCTCCACCCGCCTCCTCTCCACCCGCCTACGCGTCGATACCTTGATTCCGCCACCACATAGTAGCTTCTTCAAACTATCGCCAGTCATGAAAAGATCCGGTCAAATGACACGAGTTTAGATCTATGAACAAGGCACGAAATGGAAAAGAATCGGCGACAGGCCACATCAGGCCTACACTTCAGAGCCGACATCACTATGTTATGTTATGTTTTGTCAACCTAAGAAAAGTTGGGAGGCAATAAAATGATGACGAGCAATGTCGATTACAAGATATTAGATTCCCGCTCCAGTATTTCAGCTTATAAGGATATGTTTGATAGAAATCGATAAAAACTGTACCTTATGAAACGATTTATGGAAAATTTCAAACTTTTTGTACCTGCAAACAATATTCAATGAGTTACGACCCTGCAGTGAAAAATGCTGTTACCAAACATTCATGCTAAATGGAACGAAATGCTAATAACTGCATATAGTCTAATCTTTGTCTCGTCATAGGAGTACGATCTCATTAATCAGTTTTCCTATTTTCGGACTAAAATCAGCTCAAAAATCTGGGATTTTTTAATATTTTACGATTCTCTAGATTAAAATCAACACAAAAATCTGGGAATAATTGCAATAGGACCTTATCACTATAGCGTGATTGTTCTAAAGCTGGATTTCATAATTGTTATATCATGCGATGTAGCTGGGTCGAAAATATTACCATCAAATATTAGCTTAGGTTGTGTTTTGTGAGTCTACTATGAAATTTATGACATTTGCAATGCAATTGATTACATATATCGTGATAATTTCCGAATCCAAGCTGCGTATAATACATTTTCTTCTGACTCCTAAAAAAGTGACCCCGGAAGGACCCAGGAATTCCTTAAAAGATTTCAGGATAGTAATATTATTAATGGTGGTTGGAATGTGAAGGTTGCTAAGGTTGCCACTACTGGTTCCGTGTACTGACTGCCACTGTTGCCCCCTTTCATCCAGGTTCTTTGATAACCTTATTTGCCAGCACGCCACCGATGGCATACACTAAGAACTTTTAATGAAGAGCTTTGCTTAAAGTGCACCTATTTTTTTGACGGGCCCTCTCATTTACAACGAAATAAAAGAACATGTACGTACGGCATGGCTAGTGCTTCTATGGAGTGCGAAGTTTGTGACGAGGCATTCAACTCGGACAACCGCAAGCCGCTTTGCCTGACCTGCGGCCACACGTTTTGCTACTCCTGCATTGCAAGATTGTTGAATGTTTCCGCGCCAAAAAACTGTCCGAAATGTAGGAAGAAAATATTACAACGTATTAATCAAGTTCCCGTTGTCTACGCTTTAATCCCCTCTGAAAACAAAGTTGGCCAAAGTGATGTGCGCTCACAGTCTGAGGCACCATGTACCCAGCACAAGAAGGCTCTGGATTACCTGTGCATGGACTGCATGGAACTAACGTGCTTCAGATGCATAGGCGGCACGCACGCCGCTCACAGAATTGAGTCGCTCGACGACCTGCTTCAGGAAGATGAAGCCGTTGACGCCAGAACCAAAGTACGGACCACGTTGCTGGGAAAACTTGAAAACGCTAGCAATGTGGTCTCGATATCTGACGGTCTTTTGGGTTTGGTTGAAGACCTCATCATTCTAAAGACTGACTTAGAAGGACAGAAGGATTCGCTGCTGGCTCAGAAAGTGTCCGCCGAACAAGATCTGCACGCTTGGGATGCTTCAGTCACCGGTTTTGATAAGACAAAAAAGAAAAAGAGACAAGAGTGCAGAGCAATCCTGAGTCGACTGAAATTGAAACCTGAAAAAATTCAGAAGATACCTGAATTCAAAGCGTTGTTTGATGCTGCTAGTATGAAATGTGACTCGTTAGAGGTGAGTAAAAAGAATTTTTCGGTTTCTTCTGTTTTTTTTTTCAAAAATAAAATTTTCTTGATAATATTCCATTGGAGGTATCTATTAGGTATGATTTGCCCGGATTGCATCAGTTAAGTGAACTTAAACAAAAAAACTTCATTGGCTTCAGTATATGCTGAATAATACCGTTTAAGATAGATCGTAAGGCCATATCAGATATGGTGCTAACAGAATCAAATAATTTTACGCAAAATTTCTGACAATTAACAATACAAACGTAAGAAAAAAGTAGAGTGCATTGTAGATTTAGTACAAATTTAGTACTGCATAGTACAAATTTATTCAAATTCTGATTACAATGTTAATTCATCAATACGTGAATAAATCTTTCCGTTATCGCTAGAAAGTTCTTAACCCTCTAGCGCCGTATGTCCCTCTCCGGGAACATAACTTTCAACTTAATTATATGTAAACTATTGAGTGCAGCAACTTAAGGACGTTTGTTCGCAACAGAGAACATTTTAAAGTTTTCCGTACGTGGCGACAACCATCAGTGTGTCATTTTTAGCTCACTAGAACGTAGGCTGATGACAATATTGCTCCGTTTACTCATGTCAAGCGGTAGAGGGTTATATATCCCGTTTGTAGGAGGTATGAAACTTGTGAAATGCACACAAATAATATGACACCATTTGACGGTCAGAGCGAATTAAAATGTGATACAATCAAAGAATTCGTTTTTATGAATATTCGAGGATTCTAATTATATAACAGAATGAAAACAGAAATTACGAGATAATTGGATGTGACTCACTGACCCAGGAATCTCTGAGATAGCATATATCTTTAGAGAGCTGGTTTAGCGTAATGAGCCCCCAGAATAGCTGTTTGGACTCCTACGGGATTGCTTTACTAAATAAATGTCTGTTAACTCCACTTCAATTTGGATTCTTTATTATTTTTTCTTTTCTAAATTAATTCCATGGCCATTTTTTTCTAAATAGTCCATTTATAGTATGAACATCTTCAAAAACAGACTAGACGAAGCTATGCAGGAGCATATGTTCAGTCTTAAAATGCCTAGCAAATTACGGAGCAGTCAATAAGTCCAGCAGCTATCTCAATCAATCGTCAGTTATGGAAAGATCGGGTTCCAAAGGCCGGATCCCTTGTGAATCAAGTCACAAAAAGTTCAAGAATCGGCAACAGGCCATGGGCCTATTTCTTCAACGCCGACACTTCTATTCTATTCTATAAAATTTTTCATGCTTTTCAACAGTTATCACGGAGGAAAATTTTGCACATTTCTATTTATAGAATTTGGGACTCGTGAGAATTTTGTCTACAAATGAGAAGTTTTTTGCTACTTATTATGCACTGGTCGGAATCTTATAAATTTTTTAGTCAGCCTCTTTCATACAGATATCAGTCTGTAAAAATTCATTGAAAGTGCATCTACCTCATATAAGTGCATCTACCTCATATAAGTGCATCTGCCTCATATAAGTGCATCTACCTCATATAAGTGCATCTGCCTCATAAAGTGCATCCCTCATATGTCTGCATCAGTATAGTACATAGTACATGCTAAGTGTCCCTATAGAAACACGAGGAAAAAGAGTTAAAGCTAATTTTTGATTTCATCAAAAATTGATGAAATCAAATTTTATTATTCATGAACGAGCAACGACTGAAATTATTGTTTTTCAGCTTCTCTTTTTCTGCAATTTTTGTTTGGTGAGGAGTTTCGCCTAATACAACATGGGTTTAAGATAACATTTATCACATTCGACAGCCAATAATTGGCACAATAGAGACCCACCAAACATGTGACAATAAATCAAACTTGAAATAAAACATTATGGTTGATTCAGCAGTAATTTAACATCGTTTTTACGTCATTTGCTTGGCGGGTGGTCAGTGCAACGGCGGTGGGTCAGCCGTGCAGCGGCCACGGCGACAACGGCAATAAACCAGCGACAACTGAGCCTGTAAGTCTGAACTGAATGTTTTTTCGAAAGAAGCCTTAGATGATATATGTACACTAAAACTTAGTAGCTCACATGTATTTTCCAACCAAATCAACATTAATTCTCAGTGATTGATTGCTCTACAAACCATCCCAAGAAATGGCATCTTTTCGCGAAGTGAAGAAAATAGCATTATTTCAATAAACAGCATAAGTCATAATTTTCAAACCTTTTCTGTGAAAATTAATGGCAAATTTTTCGTTAACAATTCCCAACAGGTAATTGCCGCATAAAAATCATATCTTAATACGGATCACTCCGAACAATGAAGGCAAAATTGAGCTATCTTACAAGGCGACGACTATTCAGTGCTGGGTTGAATTTGAAAGTTAAAAATGAATGTAACTCGTGCGATTTTACTTGTGCATCTGTGATAAGGTGGTAAATCTCAATTTGACATTTTAATTTAATAATCCTTCAGTTATAGATCTCTGTAAAATAATATGACGTTTGAATGTGACAATGGAACGAAACAAACCTTACCTTCTTTTCAATGGAAGGCATAAGGAACGACAACCGACGGTTTGGAGAAGATTCGTTACTGAAGGAGAAACTCGCTAACAGTTCGGATTTCCCGCTGAAAGGCATGCTATAGGCTGGGCGTGCACCTTCTGCGAGCACCTTCAACCTCTTCAGTTGCCAGGCAACGTTGCTCCGCTGTACTGTTGATTGCACCGTAAGCTACACTGTAGTTATGAGCTTGTCATTTTGTCATCGCTTCAAGTTTTTGTTTAGTCGTACTGTGCCGATATTTATGATCGTGTTAATCTCGTTTACTGTGGCTTCGAGACATGATATTATACTGTTTATAACTTAATGATTTTATTAAAAGAAACCGTTCCCCTTCCGCAATTGCAGCAAGATACAAAATATTTCAATAATAGTATGTAATTAATTATATTTGGAGGCTCGCAAGAGTCTATAATTAATGAGTATTAACTGAAATTTGATTGAAATCTAAATATTGGCGTTTGAATGTGGAGTGCAAAAAAAATCCTTGAGGTAATTTTTAAATATGGCGATTTAAAATCAGCCAGTGACGTCATTATCGTAGAATTAAACTCAATTTCATCAACATATTCGAGTATATACTGTGGACATGACATAGAATTAAGTGGGTTTGTTACCTTAAACTTGCTGCAAGCGCATTCATATTCATTGCACGGCTGAACTGGTTTAGCTCTGTCAGATATCTAATGCTCTATCAATTGTGAGTTGTGATCCATACCTCAGCTCTGTTTTGTCACCCCTAAAGCACTCTGCTCACTGTAGAACAGCCTAGCGCGGCAGCACCTGCGACCTGATGCTGACTTCGCCCCTTATGATTGAGGTGCGCCGGTGGGCCTGCGTGGTGTCGCTGAACACGTCACCCTCCTAGCCATTTGTCTCTCTAGTTAACTTTACCAACTTGAAGTTGTACGGTGTGACTCTGCAGGCTCTTTCGCCACGGCGTTACTCTCAACGGTAAAGGTTGTTGCGTATACACTAGCCGACGAATAGTTGCATATACACTAGCCGACGCACCTAAAATTTGTGATGATTGACGTCATCAGAGGCGATTAGCTGTTGCATTGCACCCAGAGCAGCTCGGTTTAGATAGTCTAGAGAAGTGGTTCCCAAAAGTGGGCGATATCGCCCCCCTAGGGGCTGTGGAAAGATTTTGGGGGGCGGTAAGGGGAAGAAAAGGACGGAAGGGGGGCGATAGGGGGGGGGGGCGGCAGTCCCGAAGTCACTGTTAGAAGTTCGAACGCTTGTTTGACGATTTGTACACAACACGTGCAGCGCATGACTCCCAGCGATGGTTTTTTTCAGCCAGATCTGTTTTTTAACCTCTTCTGTGTTTACGTCTCGGACAAATTAACGGCCGGTCTCACAGCCAATTTCCAAATTCAATGATCAAGGGATATCTCTCTATCTAATGAACTTGACTCGATGAAACCTGGTACACGTATTCATTAGGACCTAACGATAATGTTTTATTCGTGAAAATTTTTTGAATTTTGCCTTCATTTGTTTTTGCCTTAGCTATATGGTAATACGGGCCGAAATTCACTGTGATCGAGGAATTTCTTACAAACTACTGAGCAGATTTGAACGAAATTGTGAATTTACAGTCCTAACCACCGAACGGTAATGTTTAGCTCGTGAAAAATTGTTCGATTCTGCCTTCGTTCGCGAGTTTTTTTTTTTATTTCACCTTTATTCGTGATTTAAACAGCAATGCGTGATTAAATTCGCAGTAATCAAGAAATATCTCCCCTAACTACTGAACAGATTTGAACGAATCTCAGTATTTAAGTACCTAACCTCAGCAACGGTGATGTTTAGCTCGTTACAATTTTTTTCGATTTTGCCTTCGTTTGCGGGTTTTACGGCTATACGTATACGGATATACTTAAACGGCTCTCGGTTAAACCGGCCGGTAGAAAAGCCGGTCATTTCTCCTGTATCTGTTTAACTCGCGAACGAAAGCAAAATAGAAAAATTGTCACGAGGTAAATAAACATCACCGTTGGGAGGTTAGGTATTTATATACAAAGTTTTGTTGAAATCTGTTCAGTCAGTAGTTTAGAAGAAATTTTTTGATCGCCGCGAATTTAAGCGACAAATTACCCGGCGATACGGGCCGAATATAAGGAAGTTTGAAATCAAGAATGACGGTGAAATTAAAAAAAAAAAAAACTCGCAAACGAAGGTAAAATAAAAAATTTTTTAATGCTAATGATCACCGTTTTGTAGTTAGGAATGTGTATTCAAAATTTCGTTCAAATTTGTTCAGTATTTTGGAAGAAATTCTTTGATCACTGCGAATTTCGGCCTGTATCGCAATATAACTCACGAATGAAGGTGAAATTTAAAATTTTTTCACGTGCTAAATATCACCGTTAGGTTCTGATGAATACATGTTCCAAGTTTCATTAAGCTGCGTTCATTAGTTTGGGAGATATTACTTGATAATTGAATTTGGAGATTGGTCGTGAGACCGGCCACGAGTCCGGCCGTAAATTTGCCCGAGACGTCCTAGGTTTCTAGACAATCTTCCTTCGACGAGCGACTTCCGCAGCTTCGCTAAATTACGTAACTTTTAGCTCACAGCATCTGGAGTTAGGTTTCAGATAGCATAGTTCAGTTCCAAAATTTATCGACATACGACGCGTGGCCGTTCGACCGTAGGCTGATTCGACACACAGGACAGATGCGGACGGCTCCGGCGCGCTCCGTCCGGGTGGTGTAATTTTTTTTCGCGTATTGGCAGACAACGCTGGGTCATACGACGTCAGGCTATTTTCCTGTGGGCTGATTGGTCTAATAATAATTCAATGGATGTGATCTGTTTGGTGGCTTGCCGTTTAAAATGTTACAGTCAAGAAGTGTTGTAGGCTACGTTCTTCAGGGAAGGGATCATGATAGTCCATTCGAAGCACGGCAGTGGTGATCTCCGACAGGCGTCCCACCACTGGGAAACCCTGCCGTCAAATTTTGGGGGAGTTACTCGAATTATATCGTAGTTTCCCTTATTTGTGGTAAATTTAATTAAAAAGCTAGTGACGAGAATAAGAGAGCACTGGCCTACGCGGCATTGATGCTAAGCGCTAAGAAGTTGATCCTACAGCAAAGAAAGACTGTAACGAAGATGAAATCGTCAATGTGGCCTAGTGCTGGTAGGGATGCAATCTATCAACCCTAATTGTGGTATTTTTAAAACCATTTTCGGGACCACCACGTACGTTTGCATCGCTCTAACCTAATTTTGGTGAAACAAACTGCGATCACTGCAGCGAGTAGCACTAGCTCTTCCATTGCCGAGAGCGCACAAGGCTGAATGAAAGTTTGAATAGTGTTCGACTGGACGCTCGTCACTCTTCCGTCTTGTCGGTCAAACTTTGGCATGACATGCAAGACTGACGATAAGTTTGAGCGTGTGGACGGGGCTTAAGTCCGAACCAGCCAAGCAGCAGTAGTGACGGTGTGTGGAGTACAATCACTTCCAAGCTACCAAGACAACACCGGCTGCTCACGGATAGTCAGAGGAGATGGAGGACAAGTAATTAGTAGGAATGATGTCCGTATATCAAGGTCTGTAAATAATGTAGGAAGTAACCGCATACATCAAAGTGAAAGTGCACAAAAAGTTTTAAAATGTTTTTACACGAACTCGGATTCCGTTTTGAACAAAAAAAATGAACTGTTAACTCTGATCGCAAACGAGTGTATAGACATAATTTGTATTACTGAAACACTCACTAAAAATCACGGGGGGAGAATTGTACCTGTTGAATTTCAGCTGCCAGGTTTTGATTGTTTTCATAACTTAAATGAAGTGCAGTTCAGTAGAGGTGTAGGTCAGTGGGTTAGAACCTCTTACGGGGCCCAGCAAGTTAAGTTATCTGCAGAGCATCAATCAGCTAGAGAATCAGTGTGGTGCGAACTTACTCTAAAAGGCAAAGATAGCAATCATAGCATCCTCATAGGGGTCATTTATAGATCACCTAACAGCTCCTCTGATAACAATAAAGTACTAAACAGCCTTTTACCGAGCATGTCATTCAGCAGGTCGCATACGTTGATAGTTGGTGACTTTAACCATCCAGAAATAGACTGGGCAGATGAATCTTCTCCAAGAGATGAGAATCACCCAGCATCCCTGTTCTTGGAGTCTGTGCGAGTCTCATTTTTAATCCAGAACATCGCAAGGCCAACCCATTTTAGGGGTAAACAGACCCCATATATTCTAGATATTGTGTTTACTAGTGAAGAATCAATGATAGATGAGCTTCGCCACAAGGCTCCGTTGGGCAAAAGCCACCACCAATCATTGTTTTTTCAGTATTAAGAGTTGTGCAGAAAAGACGCTTCGGAAGCGTGAACATTTGAACTTTGCGAAAGGCGACTATGATAAACTCCGTGAATCGGCGAATATTTCGGACTGTATTAAGGACAT